TTACTAGCTAGTTTCAAAAGGGCCATATATCGTGGAAAATCCACTTTTTGGAGCTTTTTACTAAGTTATGTTGTCATTTCCTCATGAGAACCCCCCAAACCTGTTTATGGTTGCATCCACACATTTTTCTGTCTCAGCTTCAATTTGGTCCATGTAATGGTCTTCCCTAGCCTGGCAAGCCAGACTAAATAAATGTATTATTTAATCTGGCAACGCTCCATTGACGGCTCTCGGTCGTGGGGCGGGTTCTACCGTTGTTCTTCACTCCGCATGCTACTGGACAATGAATGTGACATACTCACCGCAGCAGCCATCGGTAAATGAGGCGGTCCGCAGTTGAAGAAGGAGAAAACACATAATTTTTTTTAATAAAAAAAGGCACTTAAATACATCTATCTGCTCCTGATTCTAATGAAGCCCAAGTTCTAATTGTCCAAAATGGATGTAAAAGCTGTTTCAAACAAGCTGTCGCCATCTTGTTTCACTCTGTTGCATCATCCCACCCACCAGGCATATAGAGTGCTCTGATTGGCCCACAAAGCAGATAAAGCTCTGTGATTTGTTCACTAAGCAGATAGAGCACTATGATTGGCCCACCATTATGGACCAATCACAGCTCTATGTGTTTGAAACCCCTCTAGAGAGCTGTGATTGGCCAGCCAGAAAGCTGTTAGGGGCTGCAGAGGTTCCAGTGGAGCGTTCCTAGACCAAACTTTGCAAAGCAAGAATTTGGTCTAGCACACTAGGCTAGGTCTCCCCTGCATCCTGGAGGAAGTAGCCCACTTGCGTCATCACGCGTTTCTCCTCCCCCTGAATCTGCTCTGTTCTCGATTCTGAAAACTGTTTTTTCTGACAAATAATTTCTGCATTGGTGACAAACACTGCTGTACAAACCATGTGTCCTGGCTACAGAGATGCACGTGATGGCCAGCTCAGGACGTGTGTCAGACGACTGGTTTTGTAACAGACTCGGTGGTCCAGTGGTTAGAGTAACTGGCTGGCATGGTGTTCACGTCCCGGTTGCAGCAGTAAAATTTTTTCTCCTTTAGCTACACACGCCAGTCAGATTTCCAACCCTTTATTGGTAAACTAAAACAAAAGGAGTTATCTGGGTTTTTTTGTGTGTGTGTGTTTATTTAGCCAGTGTGAGTCCGTGTGAGGTGAGCAGAGCTGATCAACTAAAGCCCTTTTTAGAAGATGCACCATGCCGGCAAATCAGAGCAGTCCTGCCGGCACGGTGTCTAATGAGTGGGCCGTGGAGGCGTGGTGGTGTTGAGCGTGGCTTTGATTGCAAGATAACTGGAAGTCTGCAGCAGCGCAGAGACCACCCCCATACCCCCTTCATGCTGGCATCGTGTAATCTTTTATAAAAAGGGCATGTTATTAAATCATTTTCTTGAGCCAGTATGTGCTAAAATGACCCCGTACAGGGTTAGTGAAAGGCCACCCTGCCCCCATCACTGGGGTTAAATTTCAGCTGTAAAATATCAAATCTCAATATCAAAGATGGCAGAAATACCAAGAGGCTCTGCTGGACTAGCTGTTTCCGCACCCGTCCTGTAGGAACCGATCTACTACAGATCACAATTTTCAAATAAAAACGTTTACACACAAACATGACACTCCGTGTCTGACAAATCCCCCTTGGTTCACAGCTCTTGTGTCTGAAGGTGCATGAATGGGGAAAAAAGTGCTTGATGCAGCAACATTTATCCGTGACAGAAGTCAGTGAAATGGTCATTTAGAACATTTTTGTTGGGTTGGGGTTGATTCGTCGTCATGAAGTGGGCGGGGCCATATGACAGGTGAAACTAATAGTAGTGAGTCAAGTCAGAAATCGGGCTGAATTCATCCTTTCTAGCCGGCCCGTGGGACTCGGGAACCAGAGTGTGATGCTTTCTCCTGCACCAGGTCTCTGGCTTTTAGATTTGAGCTGTAAGTGGGTGTCTAAACACGTTTTTATCTGCCCACAGACTCACCTGCCCAACATCAAAGTGCATGCATACTTTGCCCCCGTCACTCCGCCTCCCTCGGTTGGGGGCAGCCGCCAGAGGTTTTGCCGCTGCTGTGTCCTGCTATGATGTAAAGACCCTTCAAGCCAGCGTACTCATCAGCCTTGCTCCCTGCAGCTGGTCTCTCAACCCCGCCCACACACACGCCCCGCATCCGGTCTACATCCTGTTCCCTGCCTTTGTTCCTTTGGAGCTGCAGATCAGAAGAGAAACACACAAGTTTTCCTAGAGGGCAGCTCTGAGCCGTGGCCGACGGCCGGAACGCATTCCTGACCCGTCTCCAGCAGAAACACCAGTATTACAAATGAGGTACTGCAAGAACCCGAGGAGGGGGAACGCTGTTCATCAAATGGAAGTATGAATCGGGCTTAGCTCGTCTAAGAGCATCCTGTTTGTTTGTTTGTTTGTTTGTTTTTTGGTGTTGAAGATCACTGAACAGCTACCTCTGGACAGGAAGTTCACCTGATTCAAACCAGTGTTGGCTTGACTTTGCAGGCTGACCGTTTCTTTTCAGAAGACCCCCGACAAACACAAAGCAGCAGGAAGCTTTATGTGTTTGTTTGTTTTTTTCATTTAAAAGTACTTGCAGCTATTTGCACTCACAGGAAAACAACCAGACACTTTACCAAAACAACCATCTCGTAACAGAAGACTACCGCCGCACGTCTGGGCTTGCAGACAGTTTGTTCTCACCTCTCTGTTACAGTCAGAAGCTTCAAGATGCCGAAGAGAGAGGAGGGAAAAAAGTTTCATATTTTTCTAAAAGCAGATGCTGATCAGGACTCAGAAGGGGGGGTGCTCAAGAAGATGCCAAATGTTGCACGTGACTCCTAGTTTTTTAAAGCGATCCGTTGTAAATAGAACTGTGGAAGCCGAAGCCAGCTGCAGAGCATCGTCGTCGTTACAGAGAGAGAGGCTGATGGAGTTCTGGAGCTAGAGCTGTCGGCCTGCAGATGAACTCATAAATGGCTCACATCAACAGAAAATCTACATTTTTATTAAAATAAAAATCATGGGGAAAAATCAAATCCTGAATCGCTACAGGACTTCCCGCTGTCGGAACGGGACGATGGAGACAAAAGTCCGACTGAGAAACAATCAGGTCCATGTGGTTCTTGTTTCGGATGAAGGAGCCGTCACGTGTTTGACGTCGGGGGTGCCGTCCACAGCACTCCCATGAGGCCTTGCAGGAGAAGCAGCGATGCTGCCACCTCTCCTTGTGTGCAGGACCGTAGACGCTGCAGCAGGCTCAAACCGGATCCGGAATGAGGTTTGACTGAAAAGCAAACATACGACTCGAATTCCTACCACAGGACTCTACAGACTTCAGCTCCGAGTCCTCTGAACTCTGTACTCAAATCTTTTTTTTTTTTCCTTTTCTCGTCCTGCACTCGCACCGGCTTTCTAAACGTGTCATTTCCTGTTTTTCTTTCTCTTTTTGTCCTCCTGACCTGTTTCTCTGTTTTGCTGTGGTTTGGGTTCTCCAGGTTGCGTTTGAGTCCTCGTTCCAGTCCTAGATTTTGATTCAGTTAAGATTGTTTTCTTCATTAAGAGTTTATTGTTACAAAATGTTCCCAAGTGTATTCCCTGTATTCCTCCCAGGGGAAGGGTTGGCATCTGTGCGGTTGAAGTTAATGTTTCAGGTCCTTGGTTTTTATTTCTTGCATTTCCAAATATTCCTCCTGGTTCTGTCTGCCCAGATGCTTCAAATGAGACGTGTAGATTATCCACAAACATCCCCGTTTGGGTTTAAAGTTTGCAGCCACATGATGATTTTATTCAGTGGGAATTTTGACAGCTACAAGACCGGTTTGATCCACTCTGATCCGTTTTGTTGGAGGGGAGCTTTACGGGGATCAGGGAGGAGCGGAGCATTGAAAAAGGCGGATAAATGAAATTTCCTCCCATTGCTGCATTCCCAAGGTTAAAGAGCAGGGAAAGTCGCGTATAAGATGTGGTTTAAAACACACCTGTCCTCACCAGCAGCTTCACCTGCTGAAGGGTTCATAACACTACAGGCTCCGACCGTTCAAAACACCAACTTATGTTTCTGAACTGCTGCGTTTCTCTTGTCTCTCTGGTTTACATAGCAATCTATTTGTTATGGATCCACTTTTGGTCCCAAACACTGGAATAAGGTTGATCCATGAGGACCGAAGTGTCGGTGTTGGTGGTCGGTCCCCACCTGAGAAAATGAAACCGTTTTCAAAGTGACTTTAATTCATTTAATTACTGTAAATCTTTTCCTTCTCTCTCTTTTTACAATTAACCAATATAAATATGTATGAATAAATATATGCCTATATTATTAAAAAATGTCTAATTTTGTGTTTTTTATGAACTCATTTAAAAGTTGCTGGTTTCAGTGTTGCAGCAGATGGCAGCAGAGAGTTGGAGCTGGTTCTGTTTCTGCAGCTCCACCTTCACCCGCTGTCCAATTCCCACAAATAGTGTAAAGAGATGACATTTTTAGGGAAGTTAAAAATGCAAAAAAAAAAAAAAAATTCTGATTTATTTTATTTGGTACTTTTTGGCTTTAAAGTACCAAATTAAATTAAATTGGATTTTCTGACAGGTGCTGGAATTTTACTGTTCTCCTTTCTGGCCATAAATTAGACTTTCCTATGTTGGCTGGACACAGATGTGTGCAACATAAATGTTTTTACTGACTCTCAATTGGGACCTGCAGAAAATGTATCCATACAGGGACTTGATTTAGCTAGGACATGTGCACCTGTGTGATTTAAACTCAAATAAATGGATGTTTCCACTATATGATGAAGGGTCTCAATCCTCCAGGTGTTGAGAAAATAGAAAAGGTGGGGCTTCCCCCCCCCCCCCTGAATATTTCTGAGGAGCTAGACAAAAGTGCAGAGTAGCAAACTTTTAAAGACTATCTTGTCAATGCAAAACAGTCATCTGACCCTCCCTCACAAGTCCTTCAGCTTTGTTGTCCTGATGCACGACTCAGATGTTGGTCCCTAACGGACCCTAAAGAGGGAGGAGCGGGTCACTTTAACAAGCTTCACTAAAGATCTCACTCGTTTGACAGCTTTTCTGTCCAGGAAGGTCCTGAAATGAGGAGTGAAACAGACTTCGCTTTGATCCACAGAAGCTTGCAGCAAATGAAATCACTTTTTTCTTCTATAAGTTTTGGGTTTTAATCCTAGACAACCGATTTAATGTGCAGAAATGATAACAGGTGTGTGGAGTAACGGGGGTTTTAAGCATCCTGCCACCTGTTGGGTGCAGCAGTAGCTCAGGAGGTTGAGCAGGTTTTCCAGTTAAAGGAAGGTTGCAGGTTTGATTCCAGCTTTGGACAGAGATTTCTGCTGTTGTGTCCTTGGGCAAGACACTTCACCCACCTTGGAAGGACCGGTGGCGCCTGTGCTTGCAGCCTCGCCTCTGTCAGTGTGCCCCAGGGCAGCTGTGGCTACACTGTAGTTCATCACCATCTGTGTGTGAATGGGTGAGTGATGCACTGTAGTGCAAAGCACGTTGGAGTCCTCCGACTCTAAAGGCACTAGACAAGTGCAGGTCGTTTATCATCGTCAGGGACTTGCATAAACGAGCCAGGAGAGCACTGATGATTTTCTTGAAGTCTTAATTAAGACTTTTTATTTTTTTATTACTTTTTTCTTTTCTCAAAAGAGAGTTCCAACCAGTACTTGAAATGACATAACAATGGACATAGTAACAAAGGAACCCAAACTCAGGACCTGACTACAGACGCAACAGGACGGTGGCTGATCAGACCACTGCCCACACACTAGGGTGGGGAGACATCAGTTAACAAAGAACATGAATAAACGACCCCTAACAAATACACACTAATCAGTCCATTATGTTTGAGTTACTTAAAATGAATACATAGTACTATCAAAACCCAACTACTATTTACTAAAGAGAATAACTAAATCAGTGGCGGCACTAGGGGGTGCTATAGCTATCCCTGGAGTAGTCATAGCACCCCCAT